GAATCAACAGAAGGGAGAGGCAAGAGTCCTTACTTAAACAGGGGCACAAACGGGGTCTGAGCCTGTTGGAAGGGCGGTGCTGGACCCTTACCCATCATTGGATTGGCCTCCTCTAGGCGAGGTCATCCTGTCTTAGGCGGGGCGAGACTTATCCACCCGTTCCGTCTCTGACTTACCAGACCACTCACTTTGTGGAACTGTAACACATTGATCCTCCCCAAAGACTTGTAGGGCAGAGAAAAATGAGGGTGTACCCAAAGGACTAAAGGGCAGCTGTTAAATCTGCCTTAGTTAACTAATGAAGAAATTTTATTTTTGGTCAGCCAATTGTGAGAGTCGTAAAAGTCCAAATTTAGCTATGAGGATGGCCCCAAAACTTCCATCTCGGGGCAGGGGAGAGCAGGGAGGAAAAATCTAGGGGGTGGGAATCTGGGTTAGGATGTCGGGAGTCTGGGGCATCAGGTGAAGGTTCCATGGCAGATTCTTCCTTCCAAGCCAGGCGGTGATAATGGACTTGAATGGGCTTGATTGCAGAATCTACCTGTCTTTTAATAAAACTTGAGAGACGATTAAAGGCCCAAGGGCCAAAGGAGAGGAGTAGAAACAGACCCATAAGGGGGCCCAAAAGACTGGGAAGAAGAGTGGAAAGCCAAGGAGAGGTGGCAAACCAATTTTGGTACCAAGACTCCTGCTGTTCTCGAGCCTTTTTACGCTCTTCCAGGTTCTTTTTGACCTTATCTAAGCTGTTTTGTACCAATCCAGTCTTATCAGAATAAAAACAGCATTCCTCTTTAAGGGCGGCACAAAGGCCTCCCTCTTTTAGAAAAACTAGGTCAAGACCTCGCCGGTTTTGAAGAACTACCTCGGAAAGGGAAGCCACAGAGTCCTTAAGATTTTGTACTCCTTCTCGGAGCTCACTTAAATCTTTATCAATGGTTGCTTGAAGCTGAGAAAAATGTTGTTGAGAAGTGACCATGGAAGCAATACCGGTTCCAGCCCCTACGGCACTTAAGCCCAAAAGTACAGTAAGAGTAATGGCCGTTAGAGGTTCTCTTTTTTGAATAGAAATACCACCATCATAAAAGGACAGAAAGCTGTCGGAATCATGAATAAAAAACCGGGGAAGAATAACAACGATAATACAGTAGTCTCTTTTTTCTAAAAAATCCTTATTAGTAATAAAGGAAGTAAGTCCAGTAGAACAAGCAAAATAAGTATTATTGGGAGCCTTAGTGAATAAGAATGTTTGATTGATAATAGATGTCTGGTTGCAGATCATCTGTAATGGTCGTGGGGGAATCATATTAGGTCCCAGGAGGCAATGGCCAAAACCCGAGACTGAGCTAAGAGTAAGGCCTCCCTCAGGGGAAGCATGCCAAAGCAGAGACTTAGAGTCATTGGTGAGGATGGGATCACCCATTATTGCTATGCCTTCATAAAATGGAGGAGTGGGAGAGAAGCAGATCCAACATTCCTCATAGGCAGGATTACTGGTGTTACGAATTGCCTCTAAAGAAGCATTAACCAAAGAAATGATGAGATCTGTGGAACTCATATGTCCCTCTGGGAGAGTAGGCTGAAAAGGAATTGCTTCAGAAGGAGGCAGCAGGGTAGAACTAGGGGTAGTAAAACTAGAAACAGCAGGGAGCTTAGGCTTTGCTGGTTGGAGGACAGGATTAGGTCCAACAGCAACAGGAGTTTTATTGGGAATGGTTTTGAGTAACTTAATTTTGAAGGTGAGCCCAATATGTGTTTTATAGGACCTGAGTCCCCATTCAAACCCCCGTCCAGTCCAAGTTTGTTGCTTGGCCTGGGAAGTAAATTGAATTAACAGGGGGTTACACCATCCTTTAGTAATAGGATCATTATTTTTACATGATAAGGGCAATGTTTGAGAATTGAGTTCGGCATAGGTAGAGGGAACACAGCCCAATGAAGGGCAAGCATAGGTAGGACTTCTTTTTGGAGGGGTGTATTTTTGTTTAACAGTAATATAATCCCAACTGGAAGTGGGCTTCCAGTAGGTATCTCCGGTAGTCTCACAGCCCCACGAAGCACAAAAATAATCATTAGCCCATCCGCATTTATAATTGAGAGATCGGTCCCTATGGGCCCCTGGACAGACATAAATACCATGCTGGTTTTGAAGAATCCTTCTATCAAGAGCATTTGAACAGCCAGGGTTGGGGGGATAATGTGGAGACTCAGGTGCTATACCTCCAAGCCGAGGCCAAAGAATCTCAGCAACACCCCAATCAGGGTGTGCTCCAAGGGCAAGGGCACAGAGATCTACTTCTAAATCGGGCCAATGGGGCTGAGTTCCGACCGAAGAACTAGAATTAACAATATCTCCGGCCTGATTTTCAATAACCCAGGTGTAATTATAAATCTGATAAGGGGAGGGGGCACTTACCGCCAGCCGGACTGCAAGCAGGAGCGAAAGAGTGGCAAGGCCGAACATTTCTCTGTAATTAAACACAGTTAGATTTTTCCTCAGGGGTTTCCCTGGGGGGGTCAATTAACTTTATTAATCTTTCAGGGAGCCATCTGGCATTTTGTTGCTTAGAGTCAAATATGCATGCATGTCCTTTTCCCCAAATTAATACGGGGTCCGGACCAGACCACTTATAAGTCAATGGGTCTTTCCACATTGCTTGAGCATAGGTATCCGATGTGGAAGGGTGCCAGAATCTATCAGCTGCGGTCTTGCCATTATTATCAAGAGTAAGGAAATTTAAAACAAATAAGGCATGATTTAAAAGGGTTTTGTAGTTTCCTGTTGGTGGGTATAAAATTCCTCCAGAATGTTGTAATTTTTGAAGCATATTTTTAAGGGTTTGATGTGCTCTTTCTACGATGCCCTGGCCCTGTGGGTTGTAAGGGATTCCTGTGATGTGTTTAATTTTTAATTGAGCACAAAATTGTTTAAAGTTATTACTGGTATATCCAGGGCCATTGTCTGTCTTTATGATTTTAGGTAAAGGCATTAAGGCAGAACATGTAAGAATATGACTTATAACATGTTTAGTAGCCTCTCCCGACTGGAGAGAGGCGAAAATAAATCCACTGAAGGTATCTATAGACACATGAATGTATTTTAATTTTCCAAAAGGGGAATAATGTGTAACATCCATCTGCCAGAGTTCTCCTGGTGTCAGACCTCGAGGGTTAACTCCTAGGTGAGGCTCGGGCAAGAAAATTAAGCAATTCTGGCATTGGCGGACTATCTGCCTAGCCTGTTCTCTCGTAATAGAAAACATCTGACGAAGTGTTTGGGCATTGAGATGGTGTAAGCGGTGAGCTTCCTGGGCTTGTATCAGGGGGTCAGGTTGCTCAACAGATGTCATAAAAAGGACTGACTTAGGTTGGGTGGCCTGGTCTACCAAGTCATTTCCCTCACTCAGGGGTCCCGGAAGGCCAGAGTGAGCTCGAATGTGTCCAATAAAAAAAGGTTCTGAGCGTCTTAGTATTAAAGCCTGTAATTTGGCAAAAAGAGGAGAAGCATTGGTAGAGGGCCTAATGTAAGGGACAGTCTCAAGCAACGGAACAGAAGTAGCAACATAAGCACTATCAGTGTAAAGATTAAAAGCTTGGTTTGCAAGAGTCTCGAAGACTTTTATGACTGCAACCAGCTCCACCAGTTGAGCGGACGAGAGATCTGTCTGAGACTGAAAAATCTGCCCCTGAATACTAAAAGCAGCAATTCCTGAAGAGGAGCCATCAGTAAAAACCAATGCAGCTCCAGGAATGGGAGAAGTCTTGGTTCGTGTTGGAAAAAAGACAGATTGTCTATGCAAAAACTGAATAAGTTTATCAGCGGGATAATGATTATCAAGTTGTCCCTGAAAGGAAATGCTATTAACAGCCCAATCATCTGAAGTCTGAATCAACCACTGTACTTGAGAGGAATTATATGGTGTACAGACGATATCTGGGTCCTTTCCAAAAAGTTTGAGAGATGCCTCCCTTCCTAATTTGAAGATTTGAGCAACCAATGAGGGATATGTGGGAAGTATTTTAGAGGGGGACGCTGGGAGATGAATCCAGAACAAGGGCTTAGTTTGCCATAAAAGTCCAGTAGGAGTAAAGGCTGTGGGGAGAATCAATAGCCAAAGCGACAGGTCTGGGGAAAAATATCCAATGTTTTGATTTTGTATAGCTTTTTCGACTATGCTTAAGGATTCAATGGCATCTGGGGTGAGCTGTCGAGTGGATGCTGGGTCAGGATCCCCTCGCAAGATATCAAAAAGAGGTTTAAGTTCCCCAGTAGTAAGCTTTAAATAAGGCCTAAGCCAATTAATATCTCCCAGGAGCTTTTGGAAATCATTTAAAGTAGAAAGTGAATCTCGTCTAAGTTGTATCTTTTGAGACAGGATATTATTGGGAAGGAGTTCAAAACCGAGAAAGAGATAGGGAGGGTGAAGCTGCACTTTCTCGGGGGCTATTTGAAGTCCCAGTTGCTGGAGTGAGATAATTAGTTTCTGTCCAATAGCCTGTAGTTCGGTAGCATCGGGTCCTGCCAATAAAATATCATCCATATAATGGATGAAATATATTTTGGGGTATTTTAGTCTAAAAGGGTCAATAGCTTGGGCAACATATTTTTGGCAAAGGGTGGGACTATTGGCCATCCCTTGGGGCAGCACTCTCCACTGGAAGCGGGGTGATGGACCGATACAGTTAACAACAGGAACGCTGAAAGCAAAGCGCTTACAGTCATCAGGATGAAGTGGAATACAAAAGAAACAATCTTTTAAATCAATGACTAATTTTGTATGGCCTTTAGGAATGGCAACCGGAGAGGGGAGTCCTGGTTGGAGTGCCCCCATTGGTACCATAGTCTTATTAATTTCTCTGAGGTCTTGGAGAAGCCTCCATTTTCCCCCTTTCTTTTGAATAACAAATATGGGTGTATTCCACGGGGAAGTGGAGGGTATAATATGTCCAGCCGAAAGCTGTTCCTGCACCAACTGCATGGCTGCTGCTAATTTTTTCTGAGGAAGGGGCCATTGGTCAACCCAGACAGGGGAGTCACTTTTCCATGTTATTTTATCTGCCTGGAGTGCAGGGGGAGCAATGGCCCTTAAGAAAAATGTGATTCATAACCAAGTCCTGTACGTGTCAATTTTGGAACAACCGAAACAGGTTTGGGTGTTCCTTGATTATTTTTTCCTAATCCTTTCCCTGGTATAAAGCCTTGTTTAAGCATTTGTTGGGTGACTACCTCTGAGGGGCTAAACATGAGAACTCCCATTTGGGAAAGAATATCTCTCCCCCAGAGATTAACAGGGAGCCCAGGGACTATAAATGGACGCACGTGTCCGTTATTTCCCTCAGGGTCCTCCCAGGTCAGCAATTGGGAACTCTGTAGGGTATTAAGAGATTGACCTATGCCCTGTAGCTGAGTTAAAGTTGGCTGGGAGGGCCAAGAAGGAGGCCATGCTCTTTGAGAAATTACTGTGGAATCTGCACCTGTATCCAAAAGGCCCTCGAATATCTTTCCATTAAGTTTAAGTTTTAGAGTGGGTCGCTCTTGAGTCATCTGTTGAACCCAGAAAATGTCCGAGGATCCAGGAGTAGATGGTCCTCGAGAAGGGCCTAAAGCGGGAGCAGTTAAATCTAGGGGTAGGGGGAGCGCTTGAGCCAATCGCTGTCCCTTAGTAATTGGGAGGGGTCCCCGCGTACTGCTGGCCAAGATTTTTATTTCTCCAGTATAGTCATTATCAATTAAAGAAGGGAAGACATTGATGCCCTTTAATGTACTAGATGCCCTTCCCAAAATTAAATAATAAGTGTGTGGGGGAGGCGGCCCAAAAATTCCTGTGGAAATAATTTGTACCCCATCTTCGGGGGTTAGAATTGAGTCGGTGGAGGCACAGAGGTCCAATCCTGCGCTCCCGGGAGTGGCCCTGCGAAGGCAGGCTGTTGGTTTGGCGCTGACTGTGTTAGGGTCTGATTGTGGCATGGCTGGCTTACCCCCGAGGCCGGCATGAAGTTGACAGGCTGAGGGGTCCGGGGCTGACCCCTTGTCATGTTTCCCTGCAGGGGAGGGAGAGGATTGCCTGCGACATCCGTCTTGGAGCGACAGGCAGCAGCCCAATGTTTGCCCCGCCGGCAACGAGGACAGACAGTAGTGGGCAAGGGACGAGGAAGTCCCCCATTTTGTCCTGAGTGGGAAGAGTTTTGTTGGGGACATTGGCGTGCAAAATGTCCCGTTTGTCCACATTTAAAGCAAGAATATTTGGGACCGGGGCCTTGTGTAGCTCCCATGACCAGGCTTATAGCCTGAGACATCTTATGAGTAAAGGGGTCAACATCAGAGCAGATACGAATCATTTCAGGAAGGTCCTTATCTTTATATTTGCCCCGTAGGGCTGCCTTACAGGCAGAGTTAGCATTCTCGAAAGCCAGTTGTTTAAGAAGTTTATTTTCTTTTTGTTCTATTTTGTCGGACCCCAATGATCGCTCTGCCGCCTCAAGGAGGCGCCCCACAAACTCTGAGTAGTCCTCATTATTACCTTGAATGATTTTTGTTAAAGGTGAGAGGACAGATCCCTTGACTGGAATGGCTCGCCAGGCGGCAAGGGCAGCTCCATGGGCTTGAGCCAAAAGTCCAATAGGAAAGGCGCGTTGTGCCTGTATTGGAGCATATTTACCTTGTCCTGTTAGTTTATTAAATGTCCATTTTGCTGAGGCCTTGCAAGGATCTGTTAAATTATTATTGGCTAGGTTACGGCAGCGATCATACCAGTCAGCTTGCCATGAAAGAAACTGGCCTCTTGTGAGAACCGATTGGACAACAGTAAGCCACTCACCGGGTGTCAGGAATCCGCCCCCAGCCATACTTTCAAGGAGGGAAACAGTAAAAGGAGCGTTAGGGCCATAGGTGCGGACGGCTGAATTAAGTTTTTCTAATTTTTTAAACCGAAGGGGATGAAAGTCACCAGGCTCCTCAGAGGAGGGTTTAGTTTTGGTTTTGGTTTTAGCAGAAGAACTAACAGGAGCGTGAGAAGAGTTAGGGGCTTCATAAGGTTCATCCTCGTCACAGGGTTTTTCCTCATCATCATCATTACTAGTCTCTGCATCAGAAGCCTCATCGTCAAGGATTTGAATACTGACATGATCGGGACGGGCAGGTGTAGACTGAGAAGGAGCAGAGACGCTACGCGCTTGTGAGCGAGTGGTGACAGGAAAAGCAAGCTGAGAAGGGGTAGACAGAGGAAAAACCGGGTTTATGAGCGAAGAGTTAGATGGAGGAGAACGCTCAGGAATAGCAGAGGCAGAATTGGATGTAGGGAGGCCAGAACAGCGAGTTGTGAGTCGCGAAAGTTGTCGTTGGAGATGGAGAATCTCAGTCAGGTCGCGGACTTGGGCAGAAAGGCGAGACCGGGTCTCGGAGAGGATATCTGTAGGCAGTGTAGGGAAGGATGGGAGGACAAAAGGAGTAAATGGCGGAGGCGCGGAGGCAAGGGGAGGATCATCATCATTAAGATAATGAGCGGCCTCGTCTTCAAGCGTAGCGGCATCTCCAGGATCTAGGGGCTCAGGATCTTGTGCAAGAGAAATGGATGGGCCGAGGAGTTTTGAGGATTTTTTGTGAGTAGGCATCCCAGAACATGGTGGTGGGATATCAGCAGTGGGGAGAGGCGGATAAAGTCGAGGGAGGCTGGGAAGAGGAGAGGCGTTAGCCAAAGAGAAGGAATCAGAAGTGCGAGAGGGAGGGCGAGAAGCGGCGGGTGAGTTTTGCTTGGAGGAAGAAAGACAATATTCAGCCACTGAAAGTAATTGTCGCTTGCCAGCGTCATTATCAGCATCTTCAACAATATCTCGAATAATCCCCCAGAAAGAAAAGATTGTAGGGGAAAGGGCTTGATCTTCCCCCGAGATTAATTTTTGATTAAGCTCACGACCCACCTTTTGCCATTTCTTGGGGTGTATTGTCGGGCCATCTAACATAAACCAAGGACAAGCTTTATCAATAAAAATGAAAAAATCAACTAGATCTTTCTTTTTGACCCTAATTCCTCTCTCTCGAAGGGAGGCTTTAAGATCCTTAATGAAAGACGCCTCCTTAGACAAAGATTGCCCCATCTCGATGAGACGGAAGTGTAATGCAAAACTTACCAGGTCATGCAGTCTTCTCCGGGCCAGAGGAGTGTGACCAACTTCTTCTTGATGTCGCAGGCCTGCACTTTTCTCGAGGGTCCGTCCGGGTCGACCCGTACTTCGAGCCCCACGTTGGGCGCCACTCTGTCCCGACCCGCGGGACCTAGTTATTCGTGGGGGCGAAGGGGGTCGTACCTGTAGGAGACGAGGGAGAGAGAGAAACGAGCACAAGTAGACGAATGCCTTTCAAGTGCTAACTTTATTGTTCAGTAGTGTATTTTTATAGGACAGTTCTGGCAGGGAGGGGGGGTTTCAAGGAGGAGGAAGTAATGGTGGAAAATCACTAAGACTATTGTAAGAAGTCACTTGATTCATGTGATTGTTACAGTGGAGGCTCACAAGGTTATACAGTCACTAAAAACAAAGTCTGTGGTTTCGGCCATCTGTTGTTTGTCCGGCAGGGCTGTTAACCGAAAGGTATGATTCACAGACGTCTGTTGTTTGTCCGGCAGGATATGACAAATCAGAGTCTGGGGGCTTTGTCGGCTCCCGACAACACAGATTTAAAGCTCTTCAGAAAAAAAAAAAAAAATGCTCTGCGGCAATTTTTACTTTAAGCAACACGACATGTTTTCAGACAATTCAAGGAAGCATCGTAAAGTGTGGCGGAGGTGACAGGGAAGTTAGCGGAGACATGGAAAACTGGGAACACGAGGGTCTTAAGTATTGAACAGGAGGAAGGCGGAAACCACCTGAGACAAAGTGGGCTTTGGTCTTGGATGGGAGGAGGTACCGGTTGCAGATACTGAAGACAAGGTATATTGTGAGCACTGTAGGATGATTTCAATGTAAGGTCACTGGGCATGATCTCACGGCTGTTAAACATTTCACTTGCCCTGTCCATGCTCCAATTTCCTCCCTCTTGAAATAGAAATAAATGATAGACTTGTGGAGTTCTCAGGAGGCTGAAACTCATTCCATAGACCCCAGAGTGACAAGGGATAGGTTGCAAATAGCCATTCAATTCCGATAACTAAATGGGACAGACAGATGTCTTGTTACTCTGCTGGTTCTTCTCCCTTGGTAAAGAATCCCTTAATTAAGCCATGCGCTAAGAGAATCAGCACCTTGGATAGCAACACCGCGGCTGGCCTGCTCAGCTGCCAGAGGAGGGCTGGAAAATAGTCTTTGAAAAATAAAATGGGATGGCAGATTAGCTTATATGGCCACTATGTTGTAAACGGACTTCCTGGGGTGAGGAAACACCACACACACACACACACACACACACGCACACGCACACGCACACACCTAACTCACCCCAGAAAGGATACCCACAATAGACTTAAAGTTAAGTCTTGCACCAATGATTTTCTTAATTGGGATTACTTACAGGAGTATGGAGGAGGGGATTATAGACAGGAACATGATGATTCAAAAGCAGCTGCATTGCGGAAAAGCCCACCCCAACACCAGTTATGACTCACACACGCCGCAAGCCTGAAGCCTTCTGTGGCAGCTTGTAGGAAGCTCAACAGTCCAAGCATGTTTTCTCAGCGACAAACGTCCCCTCGGCTTGGCTGGTCAGCGTTGCTTACTCCTTTATAAGCTGGGGTCTTTGAGAATCTTTCAAATCTGTCTGCTTTTCCGAGACATGCGACCTTTTGTTTACCTCCTGAGTCCCACAAGCAGCCCTGCCCAGAATGTTTCAGTTACGGGAAACGGCTATACAACCGGAAGCCACCTGGCAGGACAGTTATTTCCTCAGTCCTATGAAGGTCATTTAAGGAACTGGGTCCTTCCCTTGGATGAGACTCAGTGTTCTACTGGCCACGACTCCTCTTGCCTAACCCCACTCAAGACTCTAAACTTGACTTAACCTGACAGCTGTGGCTGATAGACCTCAGGATCTCAGAGTACAGGGTCCAATGCACAGCCAACAGGTGAAGAATAAAGACAGAAGTCATTTTAGAGGAGGAGGGTGCATTTTCCAGCCTAGCCCAGCAGGTGGCAGCAGAGGTCAAGGGTGAGCGAGCATAGCAGCGAGAGGGCAGCCTGATGATTTGCACGCAAGGGAGTCCTAAACATTGGGATGCAAACTCAGACAAGGCGCTACACACCCGTAAACATAGCACCCACACAAATTCTTGCTTCATGTTTGCTTTTCCTTGGTAGGAGTTTGATATAAAACTGGGCCTGGGGGGCTGGAAGTATGGCTCAGCGGTTAAGAGCACTGGCTGCCCTTCCAGAGGTCCTGAGTTCAATTCCCAGCAACCACATGGTGGCTCACAACCATCTATAATGTGATCTGATGCCCCCTTCTGGCATGCAGGTGTACATGCAGATAGAGCGCTGATATACATATATAAATAAATGTTAAAAAAAAAAAAAAAGCTGGGCCTGTAGAATGTACAGAGTTGGTCCACCCCAACAGATGAAAGCACTTAGAGGCCTGTGAATGGCCACCTTCACCTCCATGAGGGCAACAGACCCTTCCCAGATGGTTCCTTGGAGGGCTGAGGTCCGTGGTGCCCTGCTCCTGGCCACTCCCATCTTGCCAGTTTGTGATAATCACACCTTCTGGGTCTTGTCCTTCTGCAACACTACATGGAAAAGAAAGGTGACAGAAGGAGGGAAAGGTAGGTCAAGAGGCCCACGACTGGGAGATGACAGCCCCAGCCCATGGCTCAGGAGGGTCGAGCTGTACGGACTAAATGAATGGACTACACAAACTTGAGGCACCAAGATTCTAAAGAATGGGTGGCTGGGGTGAACGCAGATTTGACAATGGAGAGGGCACAAGAAGAAGAGAGACTGGGGAGCCCAGTTCCCAGGGGCTTTGGGGGACCATTGTGTTCA